TATTGTTTCAAATATTTAAAATCCATAGTTTTTTTTTTTTATAATCATTTAAAGTTCAACTATTGACAAAATACGTAAAATTCACAGATTCATAAAAATGTTTCTATTTAAAGTAAATATTTGAAAATACAATACAAGATTCCACATAAACTTATCTAGCTTTATCATAAAAAAGTCTAAAAGCAAGTTAAATTAAATTTTTATGAGCTTTTGAAGTTCATATTTTTAGAAGATTGGATATTCAATCGATTTCTCATGTAGCGATTTTGTAATTTTGTTGTAGGTAATTCAAAAACGAATACCTGTAAACACAATGACATTTCACTGAATGTTTATATTTTCATTGTCTGTACACAATAACATTTTGAAAGTATTTTGACTTTTTTTGAGCTATTTACGGACATTTGTCAGTTTTCAATTTTTTTAGTCTTTTTTTTCTATAATTGTCAATAAAATTGTATTTCTTGGGTAAAAATGCGTGAACAATTAATACAATGCTCCTGATTATTATATATTTTTATATATTATTATATATAATAATAGCAGTTGAAAAATATTAAAAACACACTGTTACAATTTTTTTTTTAAAGCATTTAAAGTTCAAATTTTGACAAATGTTATCAAATTTAAAATTTAATAATTATTTTTAGTTAAACATTTATAAAATTTTAACTTTTATAAACAAGGATTGTAAATTTAAAACAAGGTTTCGCTTAAATAAGTTATATATAAATTACTTTATTCACAATAATATCATCAAATATTGTACTTAGTAATATCATAGGCTGACTGACCATCTTCGCTCCGAAACGTTTTTCTTATACAATGATATTATACCATTGAATTCAAATTTAACACCATCCATGACAGTGACCCACTTGTAACCTACTGTACAGCAGAGCGAAACTCACTTGCCCAATTTTTTTTTTAATTGTTAATTTAATCTCAAATTTGGATGAAATTGGATATTTAAACGAAGAATAACGACCTTAGTTACTTTGTTGTAATTTAAAATAGGTACTATAATAATAGGCTAGCAGTCGGTCTCCGCCCAGTATCGATTTCCTTTACAACGATATTATTTAATTAAAATACAACACCATCCATTAAGGTTATATACTTGTAACCTCCTGTACAACAGAGCATTAATAATTTTTTGTTTCTTGCATTGTTTAATATATTATTTAATATTTATGCAACTAGAAATCAGAAGTGTACCTTTACATTTCATGTACTGATAATTAATATCCCATGCGGCTAGTGTTTTACAACAATATTTTTCACATTTTTATTGGCACAACGTTTAGATATTATAGCGTAAATTGGCCATCATAAAACTTAAATGTAAGAACATTATCTGTGTTCTCTATTTGTTTTTTTACGATATCTTTATTTTTAAGTGAATTATGAGTGTTTAAAATATTACATAATAATAAAATATTTTTTACTTACTCATAGTTCATTAAAAAAAAAAATATCCTAAAAAACCAACAGATAATGTTCATACATTTAAGTTTGATAATAGGTCCAATTCACTATAATATTTAAGCCAACAACACAAAATTGGACGACACAAAATTGCTGGACGTACATTTTTGTATGTCATGCGTTAGTAAGACGGAGAAAATACATATGGGTACGACGTAAGTCCTAAGTGTTTTATTAATTATTTCTTTTTAGAATTGATAATTTATTTATTTTAATTATTATTAAGTTCCTAATAATAATATACCTTTATGGACATATGGTAGCTATTATTATAGCTATTATTCGTTACGTAACAACTAGCTCAATTTAAAAAACTGTCATACAACTTTAGAGACAAAATGGACCTATACTGTATACTAGTATACTGTTAATTAAGAATATTAGCTATTAATTTCTTCATCTTCTGTATTCAGAGAACACATTGACAATTTATTTTTGAGTTTTTTTTTTTTTTTTTTTAACACGTCATGTAAAATAAATCTCATTAGGAACATTTTATTTAATCGTCAAGCTTTATGATTATCGAACGAAAAATTATTTCAATATACATCGATCGTAAAATATAGATGTAGGTATAGTTGTATGCCTACCGAGATCATAAACATTTTTTTTAATACCCGTGTAACCAATTAATGAATTAAAGCATCCAGCAAAAATGTCAATAGAAAACAACAATACAGCTGCATTAGTCTCAAATATATGCACAATCACCACAACTAATTTCGTAGAAAAAAGTATGTATAGGTATAATATAAGTGATTTAAGTGAAAATGCAAATCAGAAACCAGTTCAACTGATTTTACAGCAGTTTCCTCGCCAAGTTATATCAAATAAACCTACATATTTTAATGCATCGTTGACCGTTGTACTTAAACAAAGTCCATGAGTCGAATACTCTATATGACTTAATAAAATATTTTGTTTTTACTATTGGCATTTTAAATTGAATATAAATATTGTTTAAATACGTGCTTAAACATTAGACTTAGGTATTGCGATTGGAATAATGTGGTAGGTAACACCACACGAGTAATTTTCGATTTTTTATTATTTGTTTTTTAGCTTAGTTACTATACCTACATGGCTACATCGACTATATAAGTACAGTTCTATCAGATTTTTATTGAATATGAGCTTGATACTTTTCCAAACTCATTTTATATGTATTACTACATTTATGTTTAATTGTGTTATCTGCTTTAACTATAAATAATTAGTTATATTAATTAAACAATAGAACATTAGAATTTGATCAATATTGTTACAAATGATTAGCTTGTTAAATATAATAAAATAAATAAAACATGGTACAGAAAGTATGACGGCTAAAATTAAAAATAAATTCACTCCTTATTTGATAAGCTAAACTTTATCTAGGTATATAAATAGTACTGAACAAACTACAGAGCAGAATGGGCTTCCCAAATATTTTGTGTTAGACTGTTCGTGCACACTCAATTTTATAATAATTAATAAAATAACAATATAGAATCGATTCTAGCACACAATGCAATATTATAGAGATATGAAACATACAGAGGTTATACCATCGATGACCATTAAAAATATTAATGATAAAACATATTTGAATCCCTTAAAGAGGAATAGAAAAATTGGTGGGCAAGTGGGTGTCACTCTGCTGTACAGTAGGTTACAAGTGGGTCACTGTATAATTGATGATATTACATTTGAATTCAACGATATAATATCATTGTATAAGAAAAACGATTCTGAGCGAAGAAGGTATGTCAATCTAGGTATAAACTATAAGACATATTACAGTAAAACCTCTCTATAACGGACCCTCTATTAGACGGAATCCTCCTTATAAAGGAAAATGTCAATAGTTTTCTATTAATATTTCAATAGTTTTTCTACCTCCCTATAACGAAAAACTCTTTATAACGGAAAAAAATTGAGTCCCAAGCGGTTCCGTTATAGGGAGGTTTTACTGTATATACATATCTATGGTATTAAACCAAAAATTGACCAATAATAGGTAGGTACCTATAATAAATTCCAAATTAACCATATCACAATATCGATTAGGTACTTATAACGCGTTATACATCAACAAAAACCGTGATACTATCATAGATATATAATAGTAGACTTTAGAAGTTTCAAGTACCCACGAATAATATTATTCAATCACAACAAAATAACTAAAATAGTTATTCTAAATTTTTTAATATGTAATTTCGTCCAAATTTGAATTTAAAATGTCTGTAAAAAATAACTGTGTTCATATATTTTTTAGATTTTTTGGTTACAGTATGAACTATTTATGAGAACCTTTGTTTTAAATTTGCAATCCTTAGCTATAAAAACTGAAGGAAATCGCTACATGAGAATTCGAGTGAATATCCAATGTTGTAAAAGTTTGAATTTCAAACGCTCATAAAAATTTAATTTGAATTTTCAAGCTTTCGAAACCAACAAATAAAATTGTATTAATATTTTTAGAATAAAAACTAAAAAAAAAATGGAAAATGAAAATGTCCCTAAACAGCTCAAAACAAATCATAATATTTTAAAAATTTTAACGCGTGTAGAAAATGCAAATATAAACAACCAGTGAAAATGTTATGTATATACGTTAATTATTTTAGAGTCACACCAAAAACCAAAATCGATTTTTTGGAAAACCGATTTTGCGTAAAAATTTCCGTTATTCCTTAATTTTTATGTGTTTAATCCCGGCGCTTGTGAAAACTATAGGAAATTTTAAAATACTTATGTTGAAAATCGAAGCATTATTTTGAATACTTATCGTGTACACAGACACAAAAATAAAAAACAAAATAAAGAACAAAATAAAAGAATAAAAAAAAAACAAACATCATTGTAAAATCAATACATTCATCGTTCCACTCAGAATCTAAATTCCTGTTCGCTGTGTTCGGCGAGTTTAAAACCACTAAAATAAAAATAATATAATAATAATAATAATTTCACAACATTTATATATTTTTAAACAATTCACAAGGGGAGGTTATATGAAGGTAGATAGGTATAGTGTTTTGTGTGTGATTAAGCCACTGATCCGTGTCTATAATTGAGCACGACGTCATCGGAGTGTTGAGGAGTCTCATGGTGGACTAATATAACTTACATATTATTGAACACGTAAATATTTATGTGCAGGCTCGAACAATACTTTCGTTATATTTCTCATGATGTTTTTGTTGGTATTTTGGACGGACAGGTACCTACGCACAAGCACGTCATAATAATAATATTATTGTTGTAATAGTGGGCGGGAGTGCAGCTGATCACTGTGGACCCCGGAGGAGGGACCGAATAGCACGACTAGCGCCGCCGCTGCGGCTGCAGCTTATAAAATAGCTCGCTAAGGGTCTCTCGCTGCCAGTGCGTTCAGTGTACCGACTTTTTCAAATTCACTATTCGTCTTGCACGTTTCTCTCACACATCCAGATTTTCATCGTTTGTTCCACTTACGTTTATTCCATCTTCTCTATTGTCTCACGTTTACAGAAAACAACACCACAATGACGTCGCCAGTAGTAGTTGTCATGTCGATTTTCGCTGTTCTCATCATTTCTAGCGAAGCAGACACCATAAGAGACTATGAGGAATTTCCAGGAAGTAACAGTAAGTACCTAAATGCATTTTATCATTTCGTTATTAGTAAAACCCAATTTTTTATACCGTTCGACTCATTACTGTTTTTATATTTGATGAACATTTTTTTTTTCAATTTCGAAATATTCTTTGGATTTTCAATAAATATTTTTTTTATTTTAAATATTACTTTGCACTCATTATAGTTCATAGATAGTTCACAGCACCGTTTGATAGACCCGCTTTTTTTATGAAATAGGATCACACTCGTGGTGCCATCTTCCTAGTTTTTACAGAAGTAATGTTTTCGCTTGTCGATATTTTACTTTCAGGACGGATGTATACTTAACCGAATTGCACATGAAGTTATTACATACACTTTAACTGAACTTAAGTATTTACTAAGTATTGTACTCTATCCGAAATATATATAGCACCGAATTTTATATTTATTTTATATATTTTCCCCCAAATCAATTCAGTAGAATATTATATTGTATAGGTATAGTAAAACAATGTTTGAACAAAAATGAAATAGTTACCTAATTATTATTATAGGTACTATTAATTTTGGTTTTTTTTGTAATATTTATTTTTTCAAGTGCCTTATATCCAGTATAATTACTTTCCCGACACCAATAACCCGTTATAAATATCAAACCTATGTACTAATTTCTTCTATTATGATGTGTTTAGTTGTCAAAGGCATGTGCCCAACAGTTGGACTTATCGCAGCAGAATACAGAGTGACTGTCCTCACCGAGATGAATTCGGAATCGCTGTACATCGGTGGTTGTGCTTCCATCGACTTCATGTCACCTGACGTTTCAAAAAAATCATTTAGCTTGTGGATTGGTAGTTTGAAGAATGGCATGCAACGTTGCCGTGAGGATGGTACGTATAACAAATTATTGTTTTAGTACAATACTAGACTCTAATACTCTATACTACTGTTATCAAGACTCTAGAAAATCTATTCCATGGGGTAAATGTAGTATAACATATCTCCTACATGTAGCGCATGCATGTTAATAAAATATTATATTGTCAACTATTTCATTCGCAATTCATATTGACCGGGGAGGGCTATTTGACAAGATATAATGAATTTTCCATAAAATGTTGTACCTATATTAATATAATATGTCAGTATGTTAGGTACCTAGGTACATCCAATGTTTACTATAATAGTAATGTTGGTACTACTTTTTATTACTATTTTACTCATCACAAAAGAAAGATAAGAAATAATAATCGCACACAAAATACAAATTCATTTATTAATAACCAGTTTAGTTAATAGGTGGGTACCTAACTGATATTTTTAAATAAGGTAGGCAAGTGCTATTCAAGTGATTTATTTTACTATTAGTAATACAGTACGTTGAATTATTTTTTTATAAAATTATTAAGTTTCAAGTACCCACAAATAATAATTTTGAATTACAAAAAAATAACTAAAATTGTTTTTCTATGTCATTTCACTCATTACAATGAATTACAATAATATATAAATATGATTTAAGAATCAAGAATCACTTTGATCTCGTATTTTTATTCTGTTGACCATGTGCGACTATTTAGATATGGATCACTTCAACTTTACCTGTGTGTCCTTGCCACAGTCAGATGATTTCATGAAGGGAATTATGTTTGCACAGCTATTAGGCCAAGTCAACAACAAGGAAAGCAAACAAAGATGTGCCGTAAGTATATAGTATTATGTCTATAATTGGGTATGCTAACAGTTATAAAATTAACTTGAGATCAATCACTCCATTTTTTCAGTTCCGTATAATCAATTTAAAAATCGTTTTTTTTTTTTTCAAATTTTGAACTAAACAACTGTACTCTTGTCTCAAACTTTAAGAGTTATCTCATCTATAGGCGGTAGGCTTCTGCGAAAAGTGGTGGAAATGCGGTAACGTGGCTAACACACGCGGAATGCCACGCTCTCTGGAGCTTTATTTTATTATTCTGACCTGTAGTTTCCATTTTGCTAGGATTAACACGGTAAAGGATCTTTTTGGCGACGGTCGGTCGTCGGAAACAATTAATGCTAATAACGACAAAACAGATTTAATCTATGGGTGCGATGTAATGCTTGGTCTGGGGTGACCTGTTAAATATTAGATATGTAGGGAGAGTTGTGGGGGGGGGCTGTGGAAATGATATCCGTATAAAATTAATATTATGTGTGAATACATCATTGTATCAGTTGTAGCAGTTAATCCTGCATTCCTATATTATGTAGATTTTAAAAAACATAAATGTTACAGTGGTCTGACTGAATGGGACGGAAATCAGTCTGAGGTTACTCTTAGATTTGAGACAGAAAATAGATTCATCTAGATTAAACGAAAATGTAACATTGTACTATAGTTTAATTAACGATATACTTATCTATATATATAATTTTGTCGAACTATATAATATACCTATATGTACACGAATAATGAATGATATTATTCATTTTATATTTTCAATTTTACAATTACAATAATATCTACTTATCTTTGAATTTTATAATAATACTATAATATACCTACCTCTTTTAATATTCATAATATATTCAGATATTATCTGTTATTATATTATTATGCTATGCCCCACAGTCGTTTAGTTTATATTGTTATTGTAATTTAAATGTAGGCTCTATAATACCTACTCTTATCTTTGTTGTTATACTTATACACTTCAGGACACATGAGACATACACTTACATAGACACTTACACATTAGACAAATTACTTTTTTTTTCTTGAAAAATTGTATTAGAAGTTTAAAAAGAATTTGTATTATAATGCATCTAAATAATTATTAACTATTTGTCTCCTTAAAACGTAGGGACGGCAATTTGATGTAATTTTTAGATGATAAAATTTTGCTCTTTGACGCAGCCACCCCGGATACGAGCTTACCTCAAATTTGAACTTCCTCGCATGATATGATAAGATTCATTAATTATTTTCTGTTTCTCTCTTTCTTGCATATCTACCGAAGATTCACGACATGGTCAAAGGAAACTCAACGATGTTCAGAATTGCGGTTAGTGGTAACGATTCATGCCACGGCTTGGCTGATTTACTACAATCAAACCTACAGACAACGATTCCCGATGGTGCCATGGTACTGCAATTGAACAGAATCAGATTGGTATCTAACCAATTACGATCAGGAGACAATACACGGTATGGGTATGGTCATTCAAATGTTATAAAACACTATTCAGGTAACTGGGTGAATAAGTTGTAGGTACCTACCTATTAACCTAAATAATCATTTCCTGATTAAAACTATTATAATAAAAAAACTTCGAAAAATAAACCAATTGTGTTTTTTATTTATAATGTAGTACCTATAACCAGTATAGGTAAACTATCGAAAACGATCGGAAATAATATTTATGATATGAATTTATAAATTTATAAAATTAAATTAAAAACGTGTTTGGATGCGAGATTCAATAAAATTGAACTTATAGTCATATCATATAAAATAACACATTTTATAATGCTTTAATATGAACTTTGCATAAAATGCATACGAAAACAAAACATCATGGGACAGATAAACCACTCTCCAATTATTTTCGTGTTTTTGCTCTGTCATGTGGGTTTTATATTTTTAACTGTTTTAATAGTACAATATAGGCATATAGGTAACTAGTTTTATTTAACCATACTCATTGATATGCATACATACTTACCTATAAATGATGCATGTATGAGATGTAAATGGATTAAAAAGTTATAAAAATAAAAAATAAAATATAATAGGAATTAAAATAATCTCTGAGACTTTGGTCAACTTTGGAATACGATAGAAATGTATTATTATTCGACAGAAAACAACGCACGGAGAATAAATAACTACAGTGTCATACATTATGGGTATTAATATATTATACATATTATATTAGGTATCGAATGTATTCAACAACAACTTCATATAAAGAATTCAACTTCCACGTGTTAAACATTAAAAAAATATAACTGAAAGTATGTATCTAAGTAGGTATTAATTAAAGCCAATATCGCTTCGTGTTGAAAGTGCCAGTCGACGAGAAAAAACAAATATCAATATGAATACTAGTTAAACTATTTAGTAACTTCAATGAATTAGCCAAAAGATTACTAATTTCATCTGGAGTAGGTACCTGAATAATATTAAGTTTTAACTTTTCACCTATTAAAAAAAAATACTTGTGTTCAGGCGTGGATACAAGGGGGGCTGTGGAGGCTGAAGCCCCCCTTAGGCTTTAGGTACTCAAAAATATTTCAATCGTGCCTATTGCCTATATATTATATTGCATATGCAATAAAAGGTAATTTTGTTATTAATTTGTTATTTTATTATTATTATTTTATAATAGAAATGTATGAAACGTATCGCTTGTACTTTTGAGTCTTATTAAAAAAAGGTCATAATAATTTGTTGACTAAAATGGAAACATTTTATGTAAAATAGTTTTATAACATTACAAGCACTTATTATTTATTTAAATTGTACAGAATTAACATAATTCCAACAAGATATTTGTACATATAACATCTAGTAAAATTATAAGATACACAATGAGGTTCTTTAATAAAATTATAAATTTCCAATTGGTTATATTAATAAAAGATTAAAATTATTACCAAGTATCCACCTACCCGGTAAAACCTTGTTTTAAATGAGCATTTCTTAGCTATAAAAGTTGAACATTTTATACATTTTAGTACAAAATCATTTTAAAATTATAAATTTGATAATTTTTGTCAAAATTCAAACTTTAAAGTTTAAATGCTCATAATAAAAATGAGGATGTGTATTTTTAATATTTTTCAACGGATATTGTAACAATATATCATTAGGCTTGTCTTAAATTCTCAATGTTTTTGATTGAATAAATAATATAATTAATAGTAAAATCAATAATACATTTTATTTATTTATTGTTTAAATTAACAAATGTTTTAAGTTCTTCAAAATCTGTAAACATTTTATTAACACTAGGTATATTTAAAAACAATTGGTAAACCGACCTACATTAATTGTATTGAACTGGTAGTGTGTGGCTCAACTTTGGCGGTGGCTGTGTGGTTGTCACTAATTTAAATTATATTATAAAAGTTTTAGTGAGTTGTATTGTAAAATTTTAAAAAATTAAAAATCATTAGAAATATTTATTTGAAAAAACGAATTATTAATATATATAATCCTTACTTTAACTATGGTGATTGAGTTTCCTTCTTTTTATTAATTAATTATTAATTATTCCTTATCCCTTATCGCACATAAGTCCCGATACATTATCACCACAGACTTCATCTATACTACACTAGATAAGGAACTCCTATACAATGTACATTGTTACAAGTGAAGCTGTGCTGTGAACGGCCGGCATTCTGTCGGTTGGCAAAACATTTCATTTATTATTTTATTATAAAAAATGTACTAAGAATAACATCTTTTTTAATGGTAAAATAAAATAGTAAATGTAAAATGTTTTATATAAAATATCTTTTTTTAAAACTACAGGTTTAGAAATAATAAAATACAATACAAAATAAACCATATTTAATCTTATTTGCCTTATAAAATACCATACAATTTCTAACCGACATGGAAGCTTCAATTCTTGGCGGGAGTTCGCTATCTAGTACTATATAGAAATCTGTGATTATCACACTCGTAACGCGAGCTATGCCGCGGCGAAATGCCTTCTTTTTTATATTTTTACGTTGTATGTAGGTATGTACCTGTAACGATTGTTTATATTCCATGATAGGCGCCGTCGAGCGAGTAGATAATCCCCTCCACCCGGCGCCGGCTGGTCCGGTCACGGGAACGACGCCGACGATGCGTGTGGCCCTCGCTCTCTTATCCCCTCCACGCCTCGCCGGCTAGTCCGGTTACCCGCACCCCGCCATCACCGCTGCCGCAGCCTGTTGCTGCCGGAGTGCCGGACGGCTTTCTCAGTTGTGTGGGTCTCTAGTCCTCGTGCTCTGTTCGAGTCGTCGCCGGCACACGATTCCGTCGTCGATAGTACGATAGCGAGGTGAATCGCAAAACACACCTAAACAGGTCGAAAGTTTTGTAGGACACCAGCTCGAAATATTCCCGAAGAAGACTCGGCCGGTAATTTCCGACCACTGCACAACCGACGACGTTCGACGTATCACCGCCGCCGCTACGATCACCATGTCGGCTCTGACCACGACCGCCGCCTATAATGTCGCGTACTTCAACCCCGCCGCTGATGACAACGACGACAACGACGACCACCACCGCCGCCAGTTGCCACCATCTACGCTGACGGAAGTGCAGTTGGAGATGAGCTACGGAACGCCGGCCGCTGCCGACCACAACGCCACGTCCAGCAGAGATAGCCTGTTGACGCCCAGAGCATGGATCGGATGCCGTCATGTCGTCACGTTCATGTTGTTTCTCGGTATGGCCAACGCTTACATAATGAGGACCAACATGTCAGTGGCCATAGTGGCCATGGTTAACCAGACCGCGCTAGAAAGGGACCCGACCATTCCGGACGACGAATGCGAAGGGTACTACACGCCAGCCGCGAACAAAACCGTACACGGTATGTCCAACGAAGGGTCATTCACGTGGAGCACGTCCCAACAGGGCTATGTTCTCAGTTCGTTCTTTTACGGTTATGTCATAACGCAGATACCGTTTGGGATACTATCGAAGACGTATGGTGCCAAGTACTTCCTTGGCATCGGCATGCTCATCAACTCGGTATTTGGCTTCTTGGTGCCGTTGTCCGCCAACTTCGGTATTTTTTCGCTGATCACCGTACGTTTCATTCAGGGACTCGGAGAGGGTCCCATAGTTCCCTGTACTCACGCTTTGCTCGCAAAATGGATCCCTCCGAACGAGAGGAGCCGAATGGGAGCGTTTGTTTATGCCGGAGCGCAATTCGGCACTGTCATTTCAATGCCACTGAGTGGTGTGCTCTCGGAGTACGGGTTTGCCGGAGGATGGCCATCGATATTCTACGTGTTCGCCACAATCGGCACGCTGTGGTCAGTCGCATTTTTGTGGTTCGTACATGAAGATCCCGAATCTCACCCCACCATACCGCACGACGAAAAGAAATACATAATTACTTCCGTTTGGGGAGCTGCCGGTGTGTCCTCTCCCCCCGTGCCGTGGAGAAGCATATTGAGGTCAGCACCGTTCTGGGCCATATTGGTCGCTCACATGGGTCAAAATTACGGATACGAAACGCTCATGACCGAGCTGCCGACTTTCATGAAACAAGTGTTGCACTTCAATATAAAAGCCAACGGAACGTACTCGTCACTGCCGTACCTCGCCATGTGGGTGTTCTCGATGGCGGCCAGCCATATAGCTGACATGATGATATCCTCGGAGAAGTTCACGCACACCATCACACGCAAAATTGTGAACTCCGTCGGTCAATTCGGTCCCGCGATAGCGCTGATCGCCGCGTCCTACACGGGCTGCGACCCGTACCTGACAGTGGCCATACTGACCGTGGGAGTGGGTCTCAACGGCGGCATTTACTCGGGTTTCAAAGTCAACCACCTGGACATATCGCCGCGGTTCGCCGGAATACTGATGAGCCTGACCAATTGTCTGGCCAACTTGGCCGGTCTGCTGGCCCCGATCGTCGCCGGCTACGTTATTGACAAAAGGCCCACCCAGGCAGCCTGGAGAGTGGTGTTCATAACGTCGGCGGTCGTGTACATGGTGTGTTGTACGGTTTACATGGTGTTCGGCAGCGGCACTCGTCAGCCGTGGGACAATCCGTCCAATGACCAAATTAACTTTGAGCACAAGAAAAACAAGAAGAATAACAACATGGCCATGGACAGCGGGGACACCGTTCAGTAACGGAGACTCCAACGTCAGTAACGTGGTGATTGCGGTTCCTTATCACACAGCTGTCCCGATGCGTTACCACACTCACAACGCGATCTATTTTTTTTATATTCGTTTTAATTATTTTATAATATTATATTCGTTTTGATTATTTTATATTGTATTCGTTTTTATATTATTATGTTGTATACGGTTGTTGTGTATTTTTATAATGATTATTTATGTTCCTTGGCGGCCGCCGTCAAGCGCGTAACCCCTCCACTCCCCGATATTAACTAATTTTAAAAACAATATTTTACAATTTAAATTTAAAACAATAATTTCACATCAACTATTTTCTATTCTAATCTTTCGATTCTGTCTTACATTATGTACGTAATTTTTAATTTGTACTCCAATATTAATCACTTTAAGTACCTAAAAAAATTAATAGTATTTTTGTAATTTGATCATTATAAATAATTTTTAATACACATTTTAATGTACCTATTACATATTCAAGTTTTTATGACCTGAGATGATGGTTAAAACTCAAATTTATATCAAATTAATTTAATATTAAAGCTGGCGGAATTTGAGACACAAAATATATTTCATACAAATAGTTAATTTTGATGATTAAAGTAGATAAACAAAATGTTTTAATAATATTTATTTACAGTAAAATCGATTTAAACTATTCTAAAAATATATTCAAAAAATTATAAAAAGCATTACCTATCTAACTGTATTTATTTATTTCGGTCAAATTAATTACAGTTCAATAATTACTATAAATTGCATTAATAATAGCCGAAACGTATACCAAATAAATAAATAATAATAAACTATGAATAAGTAACCAATATGTATGCATATTCAGTTTATAATGATTAATTATTATACAATTTAATTCCTTTGGATAATTTTTATTTTGTGTTTAATACAATATTGTATAATGCGCTTATTGGAATCTGTCAAATTTAAATTATATTTCTAAAATAAAATATAATATTTTGTAATGTATTTGAATAACTTACTTTTGCTTCATAAGATTCTTTATCTGTATGACTGCATAGTACACTAATATAGGTATGATGTCTAACAATCAATGGTGTAAATTTATCAAATGGTTCATCCTTAATATTATTAGTTACCTATTATCAATATAAATATTATAAGGAAGGTAGGGTCATACTTAGATATATACATAGTTTATAAACGTCGGAATTGAGTTATTTGAGTTCACTTTCTTCTCTTTACCGTCCTTTTTCTTCCTTATAGATTTCTTCTATTAATTATTTAGATCCATCCTTGATTTTTAGATTCTGAGTGCGGAGCGATGAATACCTAGTTATTATAATATAGGTTTTGTGACTTAAAATGAATGTATTTTACAATGATTTTTGTGTTTTTTGTTTTTTTTGTGTATTTTTTTTGATTTCAATTTAATTATATTTCACTATTTCAGTCTATAATTTAGTTTTGGGTTGGAAAAAAATTGTTGTAATCAATGTTTATTTATTAAGTAATAATATTAGTTTATGAGCAAATTATATAATTCAATATAACTCTAACAATAAGTGCATCAAGTGGTGGTGATGCAATTAGTGATGCCTGTACAAAAAAACACCATCATAATATCATATTATGGTAACAAAGTACTGACAAGAGACAAGTAGACAACAATATACCAAAGTGTGATAGCCCTGCAACAATCATGTACCTATATTAATTAATTATAGGGAATTAGAAAATATCTAGTTAAATTCCACATTACAATAATATACCAGTTTGATTTGGTGAAACTTTGAAGTACCTAGGTATTTCATTAAATAACAACATTTCATACTTAAATACTAACATTTACACTAAATACATTCATAATCAAATAAAATAAACCAAATGGATGGTTAAAGATGTAAGTATTTATGCAATTCAATAATTGTATATATTAACATAACTAGATAGTTATTTCATCTAATACATTTTTCAAGAAATAATTAATGTTTATGTAAATGTTAATTTAAATTAAAATATATTTTATAATATTGTTAAGTCCTTCTTTCTAGACACAATTGCAAATAAAATAATATAATAACAGTTTATTTAATTAACAACCATAATACAATTTTCTAAACATAATCAAATTTGTTTTTTAAAAAACCTTGAATATTCTTAGATAGTTAAATAACTACTATTTAGTTACATAAATTATATTCTAATCATAGAATAATAATTCTAATTGATGACAATAACATACAAACGTATTTTATAATTTATTACACACATAGGCTTCTACTGTATTTGTTTTATATGAATTACCTTTTTAAAACCTAAATAAATAGTTTTCTCCAGACGTTCAATAGTTTCAAAAGACAATGCCTTAAAATGATCAGTTAATGAAGACAAGTGATCAGGAGTTTTTTTATTCAAAATTAATCAAACAGTTTTGCATACTTAATGTAAAAAAAAATTTTAATTTTAATAGAATAAATAACAATTATATTATTGAGTTATAAAAAAACAAAAAAATCCTAAAATCATTATTGTTGATAAATTGTGTGGATAAATATTTTATGCACTTAAGAAATATAAAAAAAAATGTAAAAATCATAAGTTTGTTGTTATCAACTAAAAATATAAGTTTGTTACTAAAAGGACTATTTAGATGTTAGACTTTCATGTACGAATCTAAAATAAGAAAATTGTGAGAAAGTTATGACTTGAAGTTAATGAATGGGCAAATAGATGTTATGATGTTTTAAACAATTAAATAATAACCACAACAATAACGACGAATCAAAAAAAAACATAGTAAGATCGAAAAATTAAACCTTGGGTAACGACAACGATCAGCTGGTCGGGTTTGTGTATCCCTAAGTGCTTTTTAAATTATTGTTGTACTAGTAAAAATAGGTAGATTTACAGTTGCATTAAGTCTATTTGAATGGTTATTAAAATCTAAAAAAAAATATATGAGGACCTATAGATTATGCCAATGTATCATCGATTCCGCCAGTATCGACTCCGCCAGTTCACTATTTCGTTTAGTCTAAAAACAGCCTATCGTCTTTAATGTTTTAATTAATTTACCCATTATATTTATATAATATATGTATATTATCTTTGTTGGCTTTATTGGTTTTCAAACTATTTTAATTTTTAAACAAGTTGAATGTTGAGGATGTAGAATGTTTTGATAAAAAAATTAAATTATTGTAAATAACCAAGTTACATAGAAAATGTTCTTACTTCTAGGATTAACTAACTATATATTTTATTTTATTGTTTTAGTCTTACAATTTAGATGATAGGTACTTTTAATATAAGCTAAAAGTTTATAGTTATTTTTGTGAAAGCCTGACTTTATTTTAACGGTCAAATAGAAACACATCACGGTAGCCAGTTTATCAAAAACTGAAGAAAGACAAAGAATGATGTCTAGTAAGACATTTAGTAAACTGATCTGTTTTTGAAATACACTTGTTTATTTATTTTATTTTGTCAGGTGTAGCAAGTATAATGCCTCAATTTGCTCAACAAAATCCTTCAATAAATTATTCTAGTTCACAGTCCAAAAAAACTGTTGAAGAACCAGTTCTGACTTAGAAGTTCAAAGAAGTTCTCAAAAATAACTAATACAATTTATATGAAATGTAAAAACATTCTTCTTGAATATTATCAAATGCAAAATGTAGAAGTATGTATTTAAGATAAAAATACTTACCATAGTATTATAAAGTATAATTTGAATTATAATCAACATTTTAATTTTGCTTTATTATATAGGATATAATTTATTTATTATCTGAAGATGAAACTTCAGTAGTCCGCACAAAGCATGAAGAGTTTGTGAAATTAATGTCACTTATAACTTAAGATAGTAATCCAATTACACTATCAAAGTGGCAGAAAACATTTTTGCTGAACTTTTATCTAAACAAATTCTTTCTGTGGAGGCCATAACTCAAGGGTAATTAATTATTCAGAGTATATAACATTCTAATTCATAAGAATTTTTTTGATTTCAAGATTTCATGCTGTCCTTAAAGATTGGAATGATTATTTGACATATTAACCTCAATTCTTCTTCTATATTGGTGCCATTATTGGTAATATTTTTATTTATGCTAGTAATTGAAGTGTACAAACATCCTTAATTTAAATATTTATTTTTTTATAGATCCTTTATTATTATCACAGAATGCTTCCTTTGATTTCAAAAATGTAAAAGATTCTTAAACATCAATACGACCAGACAATTCTAGTAATTTTTTTACAGAAGTGTTCAAGTAAATTCTTAGTTCCGAGGAAAAGCAGAACATTAAAGAAGTAAGTTATAGTAGTTAAAATTAATTAATTTTTTTAGATTTTGAGTGGATCAAAAAGGTATTCATTTTGTGATTTTTATGTTGTCATATTTTCTTTGTTGAGATGTACAAAAGTTCAATCTAATTTAATGGTCTAGTTTTCTGGCAGCAAATCTTATCTAGTTATTTTGTGAGATGATTACTAATGTACTAATTAAACAATCTCAGTTTAAATTAAAAATATTTTTTGTTTTCATTAATTCAAAAATGATAAGTATAGATATGCAATTTGTACTGAATAATTATTGTACTATTTTCTTGGTAAGAATTCAAATTATTTTGCCTTGGAGCTAATTAAAAAATAAAAATTATGCATGATGCATTTTTGTTTGTTCATGAAAAATCTTGAACATTTAATACAAGAGTGGTCTCCCTAAATTTGATTTACAGGATTGTAAAACAATCAATATACAATATATTATACACAATTTTCTATGATTATTGACCAATCTAACTGACAAAATTTGATAGTTAAAATATGTAAAATAACGATTATAAATTATAAATCACTTATAACCTAACCCAGGGGTCTCCAAACTACGGCCCGCGGGCCGGATACGGCCCTCGGACAAGTTTTAACCGGCCCGTGGCCCGCATAGGACGCATAAGTAAATATAGATAAAACAATTATTTAAAAAATGTATTTATATTATATTATATTTATACCTATTTATTTTTATTTAAGTATATTGTAAAGTAAACAATATTCTATACAAAAATATAAAGTAAACATATTATTTATATAGGTACCTATATTATCATAAAGTTAAAAATTATATGTGTTAATAAACTTTTGGCCCGCTAAGAGCATTTGATTTTTTTTGTGGCCCTTGAATAAAAAAGTTTGGAGACCCCTGACCTAACCTAACCTATTATAATATATTAAATACACTCATCACTCTGCTCGGGATCTAAAAAACATTATAAATGGGTATTGCTAATTCAATATTTTATTGCTCATAATTTATTTTGTATTTGACTTACTTGTGTGAAATTTTGTTTGGCGGGAGATAAGCATAATTAAGTATCTACTTGTCTTCTGCCGCCATGCACCACTTGTGAGTCAAATCTTTAATTTATCTTTAGGTATATTAAAATATAGAGCGATAAATAATTGCATTGGCATTACATGTTATATGTCGTATTTTTAATTTATGGTAATATGAATTACATTATTTATACAATTATCATAGACTTTAAAGCAACTTTCGATTCAAAATTTGAATACACAAAATTATGATTGTTAGAAAGATAATCCATTGAAGAAAAAAACTATATTTTTCTATATTATAAGTAGATACCATTGTCGGACTATTGTCTCCAGTTAAATATAAATTAATAATATGTAAAATTGAGGTTAGGTTAATGATACTTTTAAAATATTAAAAATTGTAAAATAAAATTGGCATCAAATATTTAATTTTAAACATAATCTTCTCAACGTCTGTTTGTATTTTAAACATAAATATACATTTTTCCTACCCTATCATAAAATAATTAATTCTAACTTGTAAGTTAAACAAAATAGAGAAATATAGATGCCTAGTGTAATAATTTGAAATCACTGAAAGTCGTTATATTATTATACCTAGGTATATCTACATAAAATAAAATATATAAGTTTCTGCATAGTTTTGTATGTTCTAAAAATAATTATAAAAGGTGGGCAAGTGGGTGAAGCTTTGATGTAGAGTAGGTTACAAGTGGGTAACTGTAATTGATGGTGTTAAATTTAAATTAAATGATATATTATCATTGTATCAGAAAAACGATTCTGAGCGGGGACGGTTTGTCAGTCTGGATATTGTTATTATTTATTATTATATCCTATAAGTTGAATTTATTTTATAATAGGTATTATAATTTTTTGTTTCGTCAAATTTTATTTTAAATGCATTAATAGTATGTTTTTCATAATCAATCATTATAGTTTTTGAATATAAATGTTGATTAAGATGATTATAAAGCATCAAACATTCCATAGGTACCTACTTAAAGTAATCTTTTATAAGTGCCTAATATTTAAGTAAGGTATTAATTATAAAAATTGTTAAGATATATTTGAATTAATGTGTATGTGATATTTAATTAAAAATTAAGGTTTTAACTCATTCCTTTAGTCACAATTAGGTAAATCATAGTTATTGCACTTATCAGAAAGTATCAATCATCGACACAATAGTTATTAAACTAGACAGTAGCATCTTATATAATTTACTTCTTATGCTGCTTTTCAGATAACAAAATATATTTAAATACAATACAAATAATTGAACAGGAATTCAACAGGTAATAAACCAATAACTAATTACTATTTAAATAATCATATTTACAGTCACAATTTACATTTATTTTCTCTTAAGCTATATATAACATATTACTTAATTTCTATTTCTATTCATGAGCATAAAACTAGGTTGAAACAAAATATTAAAATCTAACTATGCAAAAGCTGTATTGACCTAGAAAATGTTATTTTATTAATGGTCCGAAATTACATATTTATTTTAATATAAATATAAGTAATTTAAATGGTCTAATTAAATTTAAGAAAATATTAAACTTTTAGATGGCCTATATAAAATATACATATATGATACATATATATATATAATATATACTTTTAAAACCACCACAGGCCCCATTAAGATATATTTAACATAATTCGTATGTGATATGTAGGTAAAAATTAAAGGTAATTTTAAGGTTTTAACGCATTCCTTTAGTCACAAAGTGGTAAATATTAGTTTTTTAACTTTTTAGAACGTATCAATCATCGACACAAAAGTTTTTAAAGTAGACAGTAGCATCTTATATAATTTACTTCTTATGCTGCTTTTCAGATAACAAAATATATTTAAATACAATACAAATAATTGAACAGGAATTCAACAGGTAATAAACCAATAACTAATTACATATTTAAATAATCATATTTACAGTCACAATTCTACATTTATTTTCTCTTAAGCTATATAAACATAATTACTTAATTTCTATTTCTATTCATGAGCATAAAACTAGGTTGAAACAAAATATTAAAATCTAACTATGCAAAAGCGTATTGACCTAGAAAATGTATTTTATAATGGTCCGAAATTACATATTTATTTTAATATAAATATAAGTAATTTAAATGGTCTAATTACCTTTAAGAAAATATTAAACTTTTAGATGGCCTATATAAAATATACATATATTATACATATATATTATATAATATATACTTTTAAAAACCACCACAGGCCCCGTTAAGATATATTTAACATAATTCGTATGTGATATGTAGGTAAAAATTAAAGGTATTTTTAAGGTTTTAACGCATTCCTTTAGTCACAATTTGGTAAATCATAGTTATTGCACTTATCAGAAAGTATCAATCATCGACACAAAAGTTTTTAAAGTAGACAGTAGCATCTTATATAATTTACTTCTTATGCTGCTTTTCAGATAACAAAATATATTTAAATACAATACAAATAATTGAACAGGAATTCAACAGGTAATAAACCAATAACTAATTACATATTTAAATAATCATATTTACAGTCACAATTCTACATTTATTTTCTCTTAAGCTATATAAACATAATTACTTAATTTCTATTTCTATTCATGAGCATAAAACTAGGTTGAAACAAAATATTAAAATCTAACTATGCAAAAGCGTATTGACCTAGAAAATGTATTTTATAATGGTCCGAAATTACATATTTATTTTAATATAAATATAAGTAATTTAAATGGTCTAATTACCTTTAAGAAAATATTAAACTTTTAGATGGCCTATATAAAATATACATACATTATAGGTACATATATATTATAGAATATATACTTTTAAAAACCACCACAGGCCCCGTTAAGATATATTTAACATAATTCGTATGTGATATGTAGGTAAAAATTAAAGGTAATTTTAAGGTTTTAACGCATTCCTTAAGTCACAAAGTGGTAAATATTAGTTTTTGAACTTTTTAGAACGTATCAATCATCGACACAAAAGTTTTTAAAGTAGACAGTAGCCTTTTATATAAATTACTTCTCATGCTGCTTTTCAGTTAAAAATTATATTTTAATACAATACAAATAATGTAACAGGAATTGAACGGGTAATAACCCAATAACTAATAACATGTATAAATAATCATATTTACAGTCCTACATTCACATTCCACATTTTTTTGCTCTCATGTTAGAATTTTTTTTTGCAAACATGACATACTTTTAAACTACGTTTATCTGTATCTCGTTGTACTGATCTTTCATGTTTAGTTCTTTTGAAAATATCATTTATTAATTTCGCTACATCCGAATCACGTTCTTTTTTGAGCAATTTCGCAGCAGATTTAGCAAGTAGCAACTTGTCATAATCCAACTAAAAACAAGAAAAAACATTTATGAATAAATAAAATTTACAACGCTTAATCAACAAATCTTACTCGAGCTGCTGTGTCTGTAAGAATATTTAATATTTCAGTTAACCACAAGAATACTTGAGCTGCATTTTGATTATCAGGATTTTTATCTGGATGGCATTGTAGAGCTTTCCTCCGATATGCCGTTTTAATCTGATTGAAAAAGCAAATATGAATAGTAATACATCATGAGTGATTAGTAGGGCTTGGGACTTCATGCCCTAAAAAACCTTAAAATATGCATGCATTTATGCTCTAAAGAATCACTAAATATGCTATTAAAATATGCATTTAAAATATATATATTATATTTGTAATAAACTAATAACTTATAATTAATAAATCATGATAATATTTGTAGATATGACAGATAAATAGATACATTTTATTATATAGATTAATTTGATTATTTTCATTTATTTATTTTATTTCTTATTTTGATTTTATTTTTTGACTTATCGGGATAAGTACTGGGTCGGTGTACCGATAAGTAACAATGCAATAGTGATCGACAAGAAGAACACAAATACTAATATTTTAAAATATTCATTATATCTCAGGTCCAGGAAATCTATGTATTATACAATCATATAAATAGTTGTCAAATATGCTAAAAATGCAAGTATAAATTTTAAATTTAAACTCGTATTGCTATGAAAAAAATGTCTATATTACTTAGCCATGTTTTTAATGATTATTTATTAAAAACATGCCAGCTCCTAGAAGTTCCGAGCCCTAGTGATTAGAAATTTACTTACCTCCTTTTTAGTAGCCGACCGTTTGATTCCAAGTATCCTATAAAGATCTAAATCTTTCAAATCAGAATCCATTTTATAAAATATGCAGTATAATATTATAATTACGAAAATGTACCAAAAATCAAAATGGCAAATTGGCAAATTTTCCTTATTGTTATCAGTTGATGCATTTAGTGCGTTCCACAACAAATGTCACTCGATACTGTGACGATTTTACGATATGTTTCCAAAACCAACGACTTATTACGGCGGGAAATTTAAAATTCAATGACAGCATAAATTGTTAACAGGAGGTCCGTGGGGCGCGCGTTATTATCGATTTGTTGTGAAACGCACTAGGCGTGTATTCGCCATAGGCGAGAAATTAATTATAATATAATTTATTATCTGTGACTTATATTATGTATTCGTTTAATTCGTGTTTTGACAGGTTGAGGTAAAAATTGGTGGTGGCGGTTATCGATAGGCTGTTTTTAGACTAAATGAAATAGTGAACTGGCGGAGTCGATACTGGCGGAATCGATGCTACATTGGCAGAATCGATAGGTCCCCATATATTTTTTTTTAGATTTTAATAACCATTCAAATAGACTTAATGCAACTGTAAATCTACCTATTTTAACTAGTACAACAATAATTTATAAACCACTTAGGGATACACAAACCCGACCAGCTGATCGTTGTCGTTACCCAAGGTTTAATTTTTCGAACTTACTATGTTTTTTTTTCGATTCGTCGGTATTGTTGTGGTTATTATTTAATTGTTTAAAACATCATAACATCTATTTGCCCATTCATTAACTTCAAGTCATAACTTTCTCCCAATTTTTTTATTTTAGATTCGTACATGAAAGTCTAACATCTAAATTGTCTTTTTAGTAACAAACTTATATTTTTAGTTGATAACAACAAACTTATGATTTTTACATTTTTTTTTATGTTTCTTAAGTGCATAAAATATTTATCCACACAATTTATCAACAATAATGATTTTAGGATTTTTTTGTTTTTTTTTAATAACTCAATATTATTGTTATTTTTTCTATTTAAATTTAATTTTTTTTTACATTAAATACACAAAAGTGTTTGATTAATTTTGAATAAAAAAACTTCTGATAACATGTCTTCATTAACTGATCATTCTAAGGCATTGCCTTTTGAAACTATTGAACATCTGGAGAAAACTATTGATTTAGTTTTTAAGAAGGTAATTTATATAAAAAAAAAATACCAAACATATTATATATATATTATGTTCATCTTATCGGAAGTGTGAAACACTTGTCTTTGAACTGATTATCAAATTGATGGATTATTTATTTAATTTCATAAATTAGCTTTTTGTATACAATTATAAAAATTGCTTTAAATGTTCATTAATTGATTTAGTTTTTGTAATCCTGATTGATCATATTGGTAAATAGTTTTTTCAAATTTAAGTATTAATTATACTTACTAAGTTGAATTTAAAAGTAATATTTAGGTTTATTTTGGTGTAATAATAATATTAATATTATGTAATGAAGGACATATTGAAAAAATATTCACATTTATACATTTTGTTTTTTAAATCCTGATTGGTCATATTGGTAAATAGTTTTTTTCAAACTGAAGTATTAATTATACTTACAAAGTTGAATTTAAAAAGAATATTTAGGTTTTTTTGGTGTAATAAAAGTTGGCAATAAAAGAACAAAGTTTTGTACTTCTTTTTTCATATTTATGTTCAGCTATGCAGTTGGTACATGTTAAAATACAAAGATTCTAAAATAACATCTTTTAAGAAGTCAATGATAAGTTAAACGGCTTATTCGAATTAGACATAGCTCAAGAAATTAATTCTGCTAAAAAACTTACTGAAATTAATTCTTGCAAAGACTCAGTAATTTTACTGACCTTCCTGTATTTGGAAAAAAAACTTTTATAGTAGAAGCATAGGATAGTACCACGCATTTTTTTTTGTCTCAATAATGTTTAATAGAAAAATCACATTCAGGTGACTAATTTTAAGTTAGCTTTAATGTTTTAATTAATTTACCCATTATATTTATATATATGTATATTATCTTTGTTGGCTTTATTGGTTTTCAAACTATTTTAATTTTTAAACAAGTTGAAAGTTGAGGATGTAGAATGTTATGATTAAAAAATTAAATTATTGTAAATAACCAAGTTACTTAGAAAATGTTCTTACTTCTAGGATTAACTAACTATATATTTTATTTTATTGTTTTAGTCTAACAATTTAGATGATAGGTACTTTTAATATAAGCTAAAAGTTTATAGTTATTTTTGTGAACGCCTGACTTTATTTTAATGGTCAAATAGAAACACATCACGGTAGCCAGTTTATCAAAGACTGAAGAAAGACAAAGAATGATGTCTAGTATGACATTTAGTAAACTGACCTGTTTTTGAAATACACTTGTTTATTTATTTCATTTTGTCAGGTGTAGCAAGTATAAATTCTAACTTGTAAGTTAAACAAAATAGGGAAATATAGATGCCTAGTGTAATAATTTGAAATCACTGAAAGTCGTTATATTATTATACCTATACCTACATAAAATAAAATATATAAGTTTCTGCATAGTTTTGTATGTTCTAAAAATAATTATAAAAGGTGGGTAAGTGGGTGAAGCTCTGATGTAGAGTAGGTTACAAGTGGGTAACTGTAATGGATGGTGTTAAATTTAAATTAAATGATATATTATCATTGTATCAGAAAAACGATTCTGAGCGGGGACGGTTTATCAGTCTGGATATTGTCATTATTTATTATATCCTATAAGTTGAATTTATATTATAATAGGTATTATTATTTTTTATTCATTTCTATGGTTATAAACAAAGCGTTAGAAATTAAAATCCCATCTTCAGCCTATGATATTACTAAGTATATTTGATTATATTTATGTGAATAAAATAATCTATATATATAAAAATGGAGACAAAAAATTCGAAATTGCATCAGTTGAGAACGGCTTGGCCGATTTTGTTCAAATTTTTTTTTAAGATGTTCGTAATTGCCAGGTGAAGGTTTTTATGAAAGAAAATTTTTAAAAAGTCAACCGAATAATTAGAAAAACGTCAAAAACTATTTATTGATGGCTGGGATTTGAACTCGATACCGTTGTCTTTATTTACTCTATGGTGTATTATATTATTTTGGTTGCTATTGGTTAGGTTAGGTCAGATAAAATGTTTTTATATGAAGAGAAACTTCGTTCAAGGTCCACAGATCATTTGAAATGAACCATATTATTTAAAGTTAGGTCTTCCGGAATAGCCTCCAGCTTTTTTATTTCTGAAGGAATGAAACCAAAATTAGATTTTATATAAATTAGATTAGCCTCTAAACTTGATTTAGACATAACTAAGTTATTTTTCTTCTTTTATAGTAGTCGAATCATCATGATCAAATTCAAGCAAAACTTTTTTTACATAAGAAAAATTCTCACAATAGTAATTTACAGCATTTAGCCAGGTGATGAGTTCGGGTGGCTAACATTTGTGTAAGATATGGTGATTTCAAAAATAATTTTTTATATAATTTTCTTATAAGTTTATTGATATCTCGAAAATTTGATCTTATTTCTTCCGCAATTTATGAATTGCATGCACCACACAGGGTACGTGCACCATTTTTGAATACAGAGTGCAAAATATGGCTTGTCCTGCTTTCACCATAATATATGGGGCAGCATCAGATATAAAAATGAGGACATTTTATCGTGTTTTATTCTTTCGGGCCATAATGGTAAACATGGCTTTATCGAACGCTTTTGTTATGGTTGAACGATTTGTTTTTTCCAAGACATTAGAATATAACAAAAATATGTTTCCTGAATTTTCTGCTTCCAGGGTACCAATAACGATATTTACTACATAACGGCCTTCGACATCTGTCGTTTCATCTACACTAACCAAATTTTTTTTATCGCCTACATAGTGTCTAATATTTCGTATTGTATTTAAATAGCATTTTGCAACATAATGTAGACTCGTCTTGAACTCTAAATTTTATATTTTTTTTCTAAAAAATTTCTTAGATTTGTTATGTTTAATTTAGAAAGTGTAATATTAGCTGCTAATAATGTTTCACAAAGCTCTAAATTAAATTACTATTGATCACTATTATTTGTTAATTAATTAGATAATAGTACATTAGTACTTGATTATTTTGTTTCACTTCATTCAATTTTCGTTGAATTCCACGAGCATGCTTATCTCGACTGATGTGCTGATGAATTGTAAATTTCTTTTCGGAAACAACTGCAATATTATAAACTTTACAAAAAAACACCATCCGTAGAAAAAATATCGGCACTAAACTCACTCACAAAACTACGGCTTCCTACTGTTGACTTAATTTTTAGCATAGGTATTAAGATTTTTAAAGTTTTAATAATAATTTTTAATATTAGTCGTAATATTATTCGTTCAGTATTGTGTACAGTTAAGTGATCTTAATATACGAACCACATAGGTAGGTACGTGTGGTATTCACTACTAACGCTACTTTATATATTTGTAATATTACGTAAAAATGACCTTAAAAATGCAATAAAATGCATTTAACACAAAAAATTCAAAAAAATGCAAAATAAAAATTACATATTCTAAATTGTTATAGCAAATTTAGTTTTTGGTTAGAATTGAATACTCAGCACGTCTTAAAGAAAAAAAAATGCAAAAGTCACCAAAATCCTAGCTCCAATTATAACATTGTACAAAGTATCAAAAATTAAAGAATTCTATACGTATTAAATTTTTTGAATTTATGAGATTTTCTGACAAAATGTTTTTACTATTTTGTTATTTTACTTTAAAATAATACACCATCAAATAAGGCTTTATAGTTTAAATACTGTTTTTCTACACGGATGACTATATAGCAGAGTGGCGCAGTGGAAGCGTGCTGGGCCCATAACCCAGAGGTCCGTGGATCGAAACCACGCCCTGCTAGGATTAAATTTTTTGCTTTATTTTTAGTTTCCTTCCTACTCCAATGGTATTTTTTTTTATAATTCATAAATCATAAACGCTTGGAAGTATAAATGGGTGATGTT